TTGTCATATTCCTCAGTCAGTACTTTTAGAAAGAGTAGTCACCATCTCTAAACATTTCCAGTTCCCATGTGAAGGAAGAGATTCAAAAAAACAGGCAGAAAAAAAAAATGAACCATTATTTAATGCTTCAGCCAGAATGGTATACGTGTCATTTCTGCTTATTTGTTCTTAAGAAAAATCTCACATAGCCATATCTAGCTCTGAGGTGTCGGGAGGTATAATATAACCTTGTAACTGAGAGAAAAGCTGGGTTATTAACAGCATTAATCATGACTATGCTTGCTAAATAGTTTATAAAATCCTTAGTGGAAGGACTAAAGGCAGATATTCTATTGCACTCGATTATTCCTCAAAATGTATTTCCTTTACTTTGACTCTATTTGGAAATGGTAATGCAGATGTATCTGGCCATTTGCCAGAATGCAAATACACATTAATACTATTTGTAAGCAGAACTGGTACTTCAGTATGAAAAGGAAATGTTTGGTCATGGCCCACAATGACATTAAAATAATCATTGGTCTGGGATAGGAACAATCTCAACCCAGCCATAAAATCTCCTCTTTTATTAACTAAAAATGAGTATTCCTACACTATCAGCTATAACACAGAACTACTGATATAATAAAAGTGAAAATAATTAGAAAAAAATAAATATTCAGTTATGGAGGTTAATCTATATTTTATATTATCACATAATTATGATGATTAAATTGTAAAACAAATGGTGCTTGATAAGTTATAAGTAGTTTTATCTATATAAATTCATAATAATAAACATATTTTTCTTTATAAGTAGAAAACATTAGATTATTTAAAAGCAATATTTTTGAAGATTTCAACTCCTAAGCCTGTCTAAAGCTTCCATGATAGCCTTAAAGAAATATCTTTTCAATTGGACATAATAAAATTCTCTTTGTGATAATGCATATTCATTTTCCATTGATATTTACCAATTAGCTATCTTTGGCTTCAGAATAATAGTATTTAATATCTGTAATCTAAAAAAGGAGTCAACTCCCTTTCCTCTTTCCTATTCTAATGCCTTGTGGTTTTATAAATAATTTTGTAGTAAATGCAATTGAGAGATTACAAAGAAATGTGGGAGAAACACGCATATCATAGAATTTCTTGTCCTTTAGAAGTAACAATTGAAAAAGATCACAAAAATTTATAAAACCTTTTTTTTCAGAATTTAATTTTCTTGTTAAATCTAACACACAAATAAAACATTTAAAAAGTGATTTCCCTGTAGGCTTTGAACAAACTAGCTTTACAGAAAATTTACAAAAGTCTTTGTACATACCAACACCATGTAATTGCACTGGACAACAAGGGATGATGAGTTTTTTCAAGTACTATATAAAACTACTGACCTGAAACACAATAGCAAAACATAGCTTTGCATCAAATGTTTCTTTTGTGTCTTTATTCTCTGCAAGATTTATTTCTCAGAGTATGGCAGTATTTGCTTTATAAAATGTTGCTCTCCTGTCCCCAAAATAAAACTTTAAATAAGATCTTATGGAAAATCAATTTCTTAAGAGTCCCAGACAATGTTTTGCTTTACTGTTGTTTATCTGCTGGCACCATGGCGTATTTCTACTAAAATAAGAATCATCCATCAACATGAAATAACCAACTAATATTTATAATACCTGTCATATTAGTCAATTATGCTTTCTTTATTAAAGATCAAAATCACCCAGTTTAGAGATTATAGAAAGCATACAATTCACAAGGAACAAATCCCAAACAAATCACTTAAAGTCATTTGTTCTGTAACGTCACTTGAAAATATTAGAAGCAAAACACTCCTAAGACCCTTAGGAAAAAGACCAGAAGAATGATTATGTGTGTTGGTTAATGAACAATTTTAATCCCTGTTCTTTGCTTTATGTTGAGCTACTTGGTTCTGCTAGTATCATCATGTTCCCCAGCAATAACACCAATTCTAGCAGCTGATTTCAAATCCCTACTCCTCTCTCACATTCTGACCCCTACCACCATTGGCAGAACTTTATAGCTTACTCAGGCTAAGCTTTATGGCTATCAGCTCACATGACTCATAAACACTACTGATGAAATTCCAACAGTGAGCCAAGCACAGCAGAGCTCAGAGCCTCAAAAGTCAAAAATAGTACCAGCCAAAACTTGCAGGAAATTGCTGCAATCAAGATTAGAAATAATACTCTTTACCTATGAACTAAACTGATTGCACAGCATGTGCTTCATCTTAAAAATACAGATGAATTTTAAACATATCTCATAAACAGACATTTTGGTATTTTCATTCAAAGTACTCCACCACTTTCTATGTAGGCCACCTCTATATGTTCCTATGAACTCTTGACAAAATATTTCATTAGATCTCAGTCTTTACATCTATGAAATGTGGACAAATGATAATCCGTTAAATTCCTTCTGGTATTAATATTCTTTAAGTCTATGGCTTTTTATTGTTAAAGTTGTGGAGTGAGAATTCAGTCCAACTTCCAGTTATTCAAAGTATAGTAAGATAAAAGTATAACTAGATGGTCCTTTATCATGAACCATGCATTATACAAAATTGTATAGAAATTAGAAAAAAGATAAAAACTATAGATATTATGTAGATGGTACAGTTTACTTACTTTTATTGCAATAAACTAAAGAAATTTTGATGAACAGCTGGCACAGATCTATAACTATGGCCAGACAGAATGGCTTAGACTAGTAATTCTTTCCACCAGTACCACCAAAAATATTATCATTTTGGGTAGATTTCATTCAGTTTTTACCTAATTTAACAACAAAACAAATCTACTAATTAATGAATCTAGGAATATATTTTATAACTGGAAGTTTTGACAAGATACCACATAGTTCAAATTTTGTGGACATTCCCCCTTTACACTCTTACTCTCCAGCCCCATCACCCTTCCACCCTTCCACCCTCCCATCTTTCCTCTCTCTCTCCATCTCTCTTTATTTCTTTATTTCACTATTAGAGATTAGAAATGACCAAATTATCCATGAAGGTATTGAACATGTTTTACATAACAGTTTGCATTCAACTCTTGGCACACAAAGTAGGTAATGAACACATATTTGCTGAGTGAGTGAAGAACCTACCACCTACTTCTCTGTCGGTAGTTTTAAAAACAAACAAACAAACAAACAAAAGCTTTAGACTGCTTATCAATATGGTTTCAGCTCACTTTTATGTGGGAAAAATACATTTTTATTTAGGGGTATGTAATTATTGGATCTTTCAAATTTCAGAAGGTTTTATATATATATATATATATATATATATATATATATATATATATATATATATAAAGCCTACGTCTAACTCAGCTTATTTTTAAAGAACATTTTTTTTTTCATTTAAATAAAACATTGAACATTTGTACCCTACATCTTGCCAAAAGGTAGGATTTCACTAATGCCCAACAATTACAAAAATTCAGGTATAAACCTCAATGTTTCTAAAATGCCATCTAAATATAGGTTGTGATCTTGCCTTTTATCACAGGACAAAAGCTCAGAATGTGGGTTGAGTTTCACCGACACATATTTTGTTTGTTTTAAATTACACATTGTTTTGAATTTTTTAAGCTAACATTCAAAAATTGGGAAAGTTTACATAAATGCCTTTTTGTGTGTGTGCCATTTTTTAATTTGACATTGGACCCTCATGTTCATATTAGGAACTATTATCCAACTTAGGTGATTATAATTCCTTCCTTAGGTAGGTAAAAATAAGACAGGGAGAGAGAAAGAGAGAGGGATGGAAGGAGGAAGAAAAAACAAGAGTCCTTTCAATAAGCTATACTTTTCTAAACTGTGGATTTCTTCTATATTAATAGCTATATTAGCCTTATTTCTTAATTATCTGTATTTGTATTTTCTCCTTACAAATAAAGTCACCTAAAACAACTAGTGATTTGTAAATCTGTTTCATTTAAAAAATAAACCAAATCTTCAAAGTCAACTATTTCTGTTCTCTTTTATTAATGTTTCAAATTTTATCTCTATTTTATCTCTATTCCAGCTAGAATGCCTGGATGTAAACCCCAGTTCCAACATACTAGATATTTTACTTTGTCAAGTTATTCTGTATGCCCTTTCTTCTAAATAAAAAGAGAATAATTATAATAGTGCTGACTTTAAAGGGCTACTAAGCATATTCAATCAGTGATACTGGTAAAGAACTTAGTTCAGTCATGGCATGAGTGCTTGTTATGGATTGAATGTTTGAGTTCTCCCAAATTTCAGATGTTAAAATTCTGACCTCCATTGTGGTGCTATTTGTAGGTAGAACTTTTGGAGGTCATTAGATTTAGATGAGGTCATGAGATTGGAGCCCCGATGATGAGACTCATTTCCTTGTAAGACAAAGAAGACACTCGACTTCTGTCTCCACCAGGTTAAAATACAGTAAGAACGTAGCCATCTGCAAACCAAGAAGAGGGCCTTCACCAGATACTGAATCTACAAATACCTTAATCTTGAACTCCCCGTCCTCCAGAAATACTAGAAGTAATTGTTTGTCATTTAAGCCACTTAGTCCATGGTGATTTGTATTATAGCTCGAGCTAAGACAGTGCTCAATAAATGTTAATGATTAATATTTTTGTCTTATATTCTACTTGAATGGCTCATTGCTTTCCAGTGTTATCGGGTATCATTTGAAACTGCAGAACCTGTTTTACTTTTTAAAATTCAGTACTTTTAAATATTATACCTTTAACTGATTTTTCCCTTCAGTATATCAATTAGCCATATTATATATATTTTCTCTTTAGCCTTTGTGTCTATTATCTCTCTTCTTAATGCTTTTAATAATTTCTATTTTTTCTCTTTGTTCAAAAGACACCCTTTCCAGCATATATTCTCTCATCTAATTTTTTAATTTATTAAACAGAATTGTTGTGCTGTTTTCTTCTTCTGTTATTGTTTTAAAATGTGCCAGTGTATTTCCTTCTTATATTCAGATTCTCTCTTATCATATCATAGCTCATTTTTTATTTCACATAACTTATGTTTCTGTTAGTGTTCAACAGATGTTCTTTAAAACTTGCTTGTGTTGCCTGGGGTAGTTTTATTTCAAGAGCATGTTCAACCTCTGACAGCAGTTAGTTCCCAGTGTCCAAAGAAGCTTCAAAGTGTTATTTCCATATATGCTCACTCTGTCCATCATACTTCCAGATAATGAATTCCTCTGTATTTCAGAAAAAAAAAAAAATAACTTGCATCAGAATAATTCCCTTACAAAGCACATAGTCACAAATACTGGTTTTGATATTCTTATGTTTTTGTTTTCCACAATGACAAAAAGGTTTCAAAACAAGCTATTACCTGTGTTTTTCCCTTTGCTGGCCTCTGAACAGTTGCTTTTCTGCTTAAATTAATGTTAGCAGGACGTCCCTATGCTTTTCTTCTTCCTGTACCACAGAGTTTATTCATTAGGAGGGCAGCTCCAATTCCACTTAATGAAGTTCTATTTGCCCACCTTTGTAATGAATTTAGTAATATTTTTTTCAATCGTTTTAGCATACATTTTTCACTATTTCTAGGCTCAATGGTGATAACTTCATTTTCCTGTTTTAGTTTATTATCTTTGACAATTTATTCAGTTTTGGAAAGGCTAGATGAGAGAGCAGAGCAGTTTGCTTTTATGTCATTATCTTTTCCTAAAGACTCTTGATAATGGTCTCAAACTCAATAAGTCTCAAAATATATGATCAGAGTGTTACCAGAAATCTTTTTATAAATATATGTGTTTTGGCAGAGCCCACACTACAAATGAGAATCTTCATACTTGAGTTCAGAGGACATATAACTAGGTGTAGAAAAATGTCTTCACCAGAATTTCTGTCAGGGGCTACACTTTTTAATAAAGAAGAAACACTTTCATTAGCTACTAAAGCTACACTAACTACTAACGACGGTGGAAAAGACCTCAAGCGCATGCTCAGGCTTCAAAATGCAATGGCCATTCTACTATCCCATGCCCGACACAGGAAGAGAAATTTGTCTTAAGGAAAAGAAACATTTTAGTGAGTGGGTAGTAGGGTAGAGGATAAATAGAAGAGGGAACGTTATAAGACATGAAAGTTTCCCTTAATCTCATATCCAATCAACCGATCAGGTCATAAAACATTTAATGAGGCCGTGTGCAGTGGCTCACGCCTGTAATCCCAGCACTTTAGGAGGCTGAGGCGGGTGGATCACCTGAGGTCAGGAGTTCAAGATCAGCCTGACCAGCATGGAGAAACCCCATCTCTACTAAAAATACAAAATTAGCCAGGGTGGTGGCGCATGCCTGTAATCCCAGCTACTCGGGACGCTGAGGCAGGAGAATCACTTGAACACGGGAGACGGAGGTTGCGGTGAGCCGAGATCGGGCCATTGCACTCCAGCCTGGCCAAAAAGAGCGAAACTCCGTCTCAAAAACAAACAAACAAACAACAACCACCAAAACATTTAAGAGAGAGAAGGTTAATATGTAATGGCTCAACATGCAGAGAAAAGGGAAGAGTATAACATTGAAATCTTCAAATGTTTGAGGAAATTATGGGGAAGGTTTTGAACATTAGGACATCATGGAACTGGGAGATTTAATCAAATTTACACATAAAGGTCGTGTCCCTGTTTAAATGTCGATTCTGGAGCCAGATTACTTACGTCCAAATTTTGACTTTGTCATTTATTAGCTTTGTCAAATAACTTAAAATTAAAATTTAAATAAGGAAGTCACATACATATGTTGGGGGAAAGCATTCCAGGTAGAGAAAATAGTAAATGCAAAAGCCCCAAAATGGAAAAGTGATGCCACAGCAGAATGAATGAGTGCGATTAGTCGGAAAGAAGGACAGATAAGTAAAAGTAGTGTAGATGAATGAGGGCCTTGCAGAAAATTTTTTAAAGTTTGACTTTGACTGAGATGACGTTCACTCAAAATATCTTAAACAGAGGGATGTTGGGACCTGACTTAACATTTTTCAAAGATCACTCTGTCTACTTAGTTGATAATAGTCAGGAGACACAATCAGGAAAATAAGAGTACAGTTTAGAAGGCAATTAGAATACACAAAGAGAGAGAAAATGGCTGCCTGGTTAATGGTGCAGTGCTAGCATTGGATGTGTTGAAAGTATTTAGATGTCTAAATATTTTGAAATTAGGTCAACACTGTTGATGATGGATTAGATGTAGAAATGTTAGAAATGAGAAGAGTTGAAGATAAGTCCTTCAAATATTACCCATAAATATCAGGAGAAAAACCACCATTTCCCCAGAAATTTGTCTCACTTTAGCCAATATTGGCCATTGATGAATTTATTTTGGAAACTCAGAGTTAGGTAGCTGAAGTACATGTTTATTTCATGTAAAGTAACCCTTTGCCAAATGGGCATGTCAGATATAAGTGGAAGATAGGTCACTAGCTAGTAATATCCAAACTTGAATTTCAGAGGATATATTGGGGAGTAAAATAGTACCTCATTCAACTTACCAACATCATTGAAGTTCTAAGATAACTCCTCACCAAAATTTTCTTTCTGTAGCTAAACCAAACTTACAAAGCTCTTTATTGAGGCATACATTCAGAAATACAATACCTTATGCTTAGAATACATCTTCTACCATTTCTACTTTGTTTCTATATTCACTTTTGGAATCTTGATATCTAGTCATGGCCTCTTTCTTACAACATTAACTGGACCCAATAACTCTCCAATGTGCTATGAAGTCATCTTGTATCTAAATCTTATTTAACATGCATATTGGATTCCAGAAATTGTTTTTGATTCTTACTAAGAGGAAATTTCACGATGAGTGAGATTAAGGCTTTACATTGTCTTAACCTAGCATAGTTCCTGTACAAAAAGAGCCAGTAATTAAATCTAAGTTATTATAATGAATATTCAGGAAATTCAGGAAAAAAGTGCATAGAAAGTGGTCAAGATAATTTTAGCAAATACTGTTGGTATTTTTTCTGCAGTAACCCTTGTGATGCATGTACTGTACCTACAACTGAGCTCAAGGCTTTCTCTGTTTCTTCTTTTCTGTGTGTGATAATTTTATGGGCATTTTTTGAATATTTTATTATGCATATTTAAGTATAATACATATTATATGTGTGTGTGTATATATATATATATATAGTCACTATAATGGAACAAATAACAAGTTCATCATTTCTCGTAGTTATCCATCTCCAACTGCCCCTTGGTAAGAACAACTATAAATTATTCATTTGACAAAAATCCTTAATACAATACACTACTATTAACCATGGTCTTAGTGTTGTACATTAGAGCTCTAGGCTTGTGCAGCCCTCATATCTGCTGCTTTTTATCCTTTGATCTATATTTTCTCATTTCCTTCCCCCAACCCAGACCTTGTTTTATTTTGTTTCCATATATTTGAGCCTCCCCCTAACCACTTACTTTATAAGTTCCACATAAAAGTGAGTCTATTCATTACTTTTTTCTTTCTGTGTCTGGCTTATTTCACTTAGTAAAATGTCCTCTCTAGGTCCATCTGTGGACATGGCAAATTTGCCTCCTTTTTAAGGCTAAATAGTAGTCCTACATATATAAAACCTTTTCTTTATCCATTCATTCATCAATGAACACGTAGGTTGTTTCTATGTATCGGCTATTGTGACTAATGCTGCAATGAACTTAAGAGTGCAGATATTTTTATGAGGTAGTGATTTCATTTCCTTTGGGTATATACCAAGAAGAGAGAATGCTGGGTCATATGGTAGTTCTACTTTTAATTTCTTTAGGAACCTCCATACTGTTATCCACAATGGTCGCATCAACCTACATTCCCACCAATGGCACACAAGGTTCTGTTTTCTCCATAGTCTTGTATAGAGAGTTATCATTAACATTAGTTGTCTCTTGTATTTTTAATATTAAGTACCTTGACAGGTGTGAGGTAGTATCTGATAGTAGTTTTGATTTGCATTTTTCTGACTATTAGTGATGTTGAACACATTTTCACATACCTGTTGCCCATTTTTATGTTATATTCAGAGAAATGCCTATTTAAGTTATTTGTCCATTTTTGTTTTGTTTTTGAGATGGGGTCTCACTCTTTGAAAGACTGGAGTACACTGGAATGATCACAGCTCACTGTAGCAATGAGCTCTTAAGCTCAAGCAATCCTCCCGCCTCAGCCTCCAGAGTATCTGGGAATACAGACGCACATCGTCATACCTGGCTAACTTTTTTGAGTTTTTGTAGAGACGGGGTTTCACTGTGTTGCTCAAGCAGGTCTCAAACTTATGGCCTCTGGCAATTCTCCCACTTCAGCCCCGATGTTCTAGGATTACAGGCATGAGCCACTGTGATACTGTGGCTGTGTAAGACTTTTCTTAGGTCTAGAAGTACTTGTTTTATTACTCTCAGTGCACCACAGTTGGGTGCATATATATTTAGGATAGTTAAGATATCTTGTTGAATTGTACCCTTTATTGTTATTTAATGCCATTTTTCATCCTCTTTTACTGTTATTGGCTTAAGATCTGTTCCTATGCTGAGGGATAAGAGTTTTTTCCAATATTATCTTCTAGAACTGTTATGGTATCAGGTCTTCAATTTTAGTATTTGACTCATCTTGGGTTAATTTTTTTTATAAGGTGAGAGATGAGGATCCAGTTTCATTCTTCTACATGTGACTGGCCAATTATCCCAGGACCATTGGTTGAATAGAGTGTCCTTTCCCCATTAAAATGTTTTTGTTTGCTTTGTCAAAGATCAGTTGGCTGTATCTGGCTTTATTTCTGGATTCTCTAATCTATTACATTGGTCTACATGCCTGTTTTTTTTTTTTTTTTTTAAACCAATACCATACTGTTCTGGTAATGATAGCCTTGTAGCATAGTTTGAAGTTAGGTAATAGGATGCCTCCAGAATTGTTCTTCTTGCTTAGTCTTGCTTTAACAATGCAGACTCCTTTTTGGTTCCATATTAATTTTAGGGTTTTTTTTCTTCTAGTTCTGTGAAGATTGATGATAGTATTTTGATGGGACTTGCATTGAATTTGTAGATTGCTTTTCTCAGTGTGGTCATTTTCTAACTATATTGGTTCCAACCTTCCATAAGCATGGGATGTGTTTCCATTTGTTTGTGTCAACTATAATTTCTTTAGGCAGTGTTTTGTAGTTTTCCTCGTAGAGATCTTTCACATCCTTGGTTAGGTGTATT